GTGCCAAATATGATAGATTAGATTTGGCAGACACCAAATTTATTCATGATATTGACACTAGCCAACAAAAATATTTGTTGAAATTTTAGTAATTAATGTTTGCAATGTGCTATTAAAAATATATAATGAGAAAAGAATGCAAAATTAAGTAAGAAATTTTCATTACTAATATTCCAATTATATTCAATTTACAAATCTTCTTTTTTTAAAAACCATTATGAAGCAATGTATCAATATAATGTTATTTCAAACTCGATAACATATTCAATTATGATTAGAGGTTTAAACTAATTGAAAAGTTGATAATTCGAGGGAATAAATTTGTTGAATTTACTTTTAAAATCTTTTTAATGAAACCAAATGTTCAAACATTCATAATATTAATGCGAAATTGCAAAGAATTCGATGAGTTAGAAGTAAATATAGATTATACATATATCATAATTTACATATAGAGATTATCAAGAGTTGTTTGTTACTCATCAGACAAACATAACATTAACAAGACAATGTCAGTAAATTATAATTTAATCTCACAAGAGAAAAACACGTTATCAAAATGTTTTCTAAGAATAAATAGATTTTCAAAGGGGTGACTGCATAGGCGCCTACAATACACTTGTGGACAAATTTATCAGACATGGAGAAATAATTAAAGCAATATGAATTTTGGAAATGGTGTGGCTAAAAATCTAGAACCTAAAAAAATTAATAGGGAATAAAACCCTACAAGAATATAATAATATTAACAATGATTATAATTCATATAATTTGGCTCAACATTCTTTGCATAATAGAATTAACAGAAAATGTATTTGGAATATATTAAATGAAATGTTCACCGGATCAAAAACCCCAAATAATATCAAAAAAAAATGGTTAATTTTATAATTACAACATTAGGAAAGTTGAATGGTATTTTGGAATTATACAAATCAAGACCCCATTTAATTGATTATTTCTATACAAATAGAAATAAAAACGAAAAACTCATTGCAAATATTTTTGCAGAACGTAAAAATCATATTATAATAGATGTTGAATTTTACAGTATTTTCATGAAAGCTATTTCAGTCTATCGTCTTAATCCTGAAACTTCATTGCATTTTTTGAATCTAATTCCACCCAATTTACATTAACCACAAAACATTTATTTTCAACTATAAATTCTACTAATATTAAAAACATTTTTAAAAATCTTGTTATGCGTTAATACAAAAACAAGCAAATATAAATGAAGAATTTGGAATATTTATTTATAATATATTAGAAAAAGTTTTCAATATCTCTTAATAATGATAATAATAACAATAATAATACTATTTGTAGTATGGTGATTGAAAATTTTTTTAAAACTTCCAAAAGAACAAATTTTTTTATCAGCATCAAAGGATATAATATCCGAGATAATTAAAGTTCAGGAGGCTAGAGATTTAAATGAATGAATGTATAGAAATATTAAATATTAAATAATATTTATTATTATGATAATATATTCAAAAATTTTCATATAATGCAAAAGGTCGATATTTATAAATTTTCCAATTATAATTTTTTTGTTCTTTTAAAAAACAAGGAGATGATGTCACATCATTATATTCATATTCATTAAAAATTTTGATTAATTTAATAATATTCCTAGATAGCAAAGACTGCTAAAACAGTTAATCTTCTTATATTGACTTTACACAATAATCCAAATCCTTTGGAAATGGAGTATTCCAATAACTTCTAATATTAAAAATATGAGTACGAATTGTCATTACCTTTAATAATAATAGCTCACGATGCAGTAAAAAAACCCCATGTCAATCAATATTTGTGAAAGTATAATTAACAAGTGGAATCTATGCTATCTTTGGAGTAACAGGCTCACCGACTATATAGACTTCATCCATAAAAAATAAAACATTTAGAATTTGTAAACTCCTCTTCTTCCTCTTCGATTTATTCAACCTGTAGATTTTGTTAGCAGTAAATTAGATATAGCACATATCATTAATGAAAACTCCCTTTAATTAATAATAATTATATATATATATAATGAAATAGAGTAATAAATTAAATCTAGAACGCAAATTGAAATTCTTGAGAAAAGGGTTTCATTTGCATATATAAAAAGCTATGAAATGTCTAAAATTATTAATAATTGTTTATTAAAAACCTTACTTTAATATTATGAGTATTGCTTGATTAAATTTTATTTTTGATGATGTTTTTTATTCTTTGATGTTTGAAGAATTTTGTAAGTTAATAATTGTAATTATTTTTTTAAAAAATCAATGCAATTAATTGATATGCAAGCGCGTAATTTAATATTCCCAATCCTATCTATGATAATATCGGTAGGTGGTGTATGTTGAGATAGAGGAGAACGATAAAAGTTTAGAAAAGATCTTCGTGTTACATACACGGTTCTCTCTTCTTTTTTGTCCCCAATTCATTAATTTCTCTCTCTATAACGAACAAAGACGGAAAGTTACATATGGTGACAGAAGATTCATTTGTATATGTGCTTTTTTTAAAGAATCCCACGAAATAAATAAATGGACCTTTCTTGTAGGCGCCAGACACATTCACCGATCATGACATTCCAAACCTTGATGGTGCAATCGTAACTACCGCTAACTAAAGTATTTCCTACACCTGCTAAACACAAATAACCATGGATTATCACTAAATTGAGTACTGTCAGATGGTAATGAAGACACAATGGGATAATATGATGGATCAGTTTCAAGATTAGGTAAACATCACACTTTCAGCGTAGAGTCTCTTGAGCCAGTGACAATTAAAGGAAGGTGGTTCATTTAGATTTGGATTAACAGTACTCATGTAAACTGTTTATAATTCAACACTGAAAATTTTATTTCAGACTCAGATTATGATATAAATAGTGATAGAATGATCAATAGATGATGATGGTATTTGGCTTTACAATATGTAAATCGTTGGTTTCTGTCTCAAGAGAGCATATTGGATCTTTCAAAAGGTGTATACATTCATGTATTTCTAAGTCACAACATTGTTGCCATGGTCTTGGGATGATATGTACTTATGTCAACCATAAGACCCAATTTGTCATGTAAGATAACGACAGCAATAGGTCTCTTTATATGGATGATTGGTTGGAGATAGAAGAAATGATTTATCGCCAGAAGCATCAACATGATCATCACTTTCTTGAATCTTGATAAAGTACTTTTGAATCCCATCCAATATCTGTTTGTTTTGAATTGAAGAAATTTCCTTTGTACTTTATAAGAAAACCCACCGTGAATAAGCAACATTATAACAGAAAACGTGTTAAAAAATCGGTTAAATTGCTTATTCCTGACAGAACATGGCGCTCGAAACATTACGAATAACATATTATGTCAAATATTATTATTACTATGTCAAAGATTTGAATATGAGGTAGGGATTACAAATTAATTGGCACATTTTATTTTTAAAGCAAAAATCATGCTCGTTTTAAATAATATCTTTCTTTGGTTGGTTTAAAATAAGTATCAGCGAGCACGTGTAGTGTTACTCGTCTGGTTATTTTGGTAATACTTCAATTTTATTGGATGAGAATTTGTGGCGAAGAAAAGGAAATTAATTAACACCAATACTAGATGCAAAGTCAGTCATATTTGTTATGTCTGGGTGATATATGTTGTAGATCTACCTGTGCTAGGTCCATCAACTTCAGGATCATCATGTGTAGTTGATAGCCTAACTGAATTATTCTTTTGAATAAAAATACATTAGTGATGTATTACTTCCAACAATTTGATTTGATTATTCAATGATTTCTTCATTTGTTTCAAGTGTGGAATCATTTCAATCCTGGAGGTTACTAAAAAAACTAACAACAAAGTTTTTAATTAGAACAGAAATAATATTAAAAATATAATTAACAATATATTTTCACTTTCTAAATCTACTGAAAAAAGTTTTGCCATTATGATGAACTTTTAACCATTTATCATCTGTGATATTATCATTGCTGTTTCTGTGGGACTTGATGGATTCTATGTTTTAAACTGCTTGTGTGTTACCACCATTATTTCAGTTGCTGAAGATGCAATAAATGAATAAGAAAAAAGAAACCTTAAAGATTTTTTTATAGTAAAAAAAATATGGGTTATAAAATTATTTAAAAAAAGCCACAATTTGAAATATCAGCTAAAATACTTTTAATATAATCTATAAAGAAGGCTTTAAAATTTTATTTGGTGTGTGAGATATTATAATTTTCATTTTTATGATTCATTTATTCGTCTAACCAGTAAATAAACATTTTGGCCAATATTAAGTTTATGCAAGTGATAAAGATTTCCTTCAATTGACATTAATAATCCACCAAATGATATAAAAACACCACTAAATAGATGTAAATATAAAATGTAATCAATTATCATCCTTTTTGAAATATGATAACAACAAAATAATAATAATAAAAATATTTACTTACATTCTTCCAGCTTGATATTCAACATATTTATAAACTCTACCATGCATAACATACTCATAATTATCTGATAAATCTGGTTCATTCAAACCCTTTCCTTGCCAAGAAACTCTTTGTGAACTATCTTCACGTTCAATAACCATACTTTCATCTATTTTTTCAGAATTCATTGTTAAACCTGTTGATAATAACAACTCTATCTTTTCACCAATATCCAAAGCATATAGATCTGTATTAACATCTAGTAATAATCCCACATCGCCTGATTCACTACGTCCTGTAAATCTTGATACTTTTTTATTTTCAGATGAGGAGATTAATATTAATTTTGGTTGTTTGATCAAAAAAGAATGAAAGAGAAACTAACCTCGATCAAATTTTTTACCATCTTTATCCATATCATTTATATTAAACTCTTCACTATATACAATATAACTTTTTTTATTCATTATTAATATTATTCTATATTTAATTACCTAGATTCTAGTTACACAAAACATTCATATCAATTTATATAAAAAAAAAGTAAAAAATAAAAATAATGCTTCCACCATGCCTTTGGGCACCCTCACTTGAACCACATACAATAATAAATTCTTATGCATATAAGCATGCTATAATAAGTGAATGTATACGTATAGGCAAGGAAGAAAGCAAATATGAATCACAAGTATGTGGATATATTATTATCATTATCAAATAAATAAATAAATAAGTTGTTGTAATTGTTTTTGTTAATTGATTTATTTATTATTAAGCATTATATTACATTTAAAGATAAATGATAGAGAAAAAGATTACCTATTCCAGAAAAATATAGAATTAAAAGCTGGTGAAGATGTTCAGTATGTTATTTTTTCCTTACTTTGTTCCAAATTTTATTTAATTATAAATTCATCCATTTACAATCGTAGCGGACCTCGCCACCACAGCGGATTTCTTGTTACTATTACAACGGATCTAAATATTGGCCCTTTTTAGTCGTGTGACGTTTCCCTGAGGCTTGCTTTTCTATATTAATATGTGAAAATAAATTCGAAATTCGTGTCACATGAAGTTATTTTTATAATAAACTCGTTAGAGTAAAATGAAAGTACTCCATTAAAGCTTTCTAATTAATACTCTTTCATACCAAAAGGTCTTCTCTACATGAATTCACAGCTATTCAAAAACGGTATTACTTTTTCACTTCAAACCTCAGATTATTTCTCAATATCGCTTTAAAAGACTTGAATACTTTTTCATATGGTCATTACTTTATGGGGGTACTGGTTAATAAGTTCACGAAAAACTATTTATAGAAATTTTAATAGTCATGAATTTTATGTAGATAGGATTCAGCAAAAACTAAAAGGTATTTTATTAGTGAATGTTTTATATTTCTGACTTTATATTGGTTAAAGTTTCATTAATGATTGTTATGAATATCCATCAATCAGTAGTTGTTATAGCAACATTAAACAATAATATGCGAACGATGACAACGAATCATCTTTTTTGAGGATGATAATAAAGATTAAGATTCAATTTGTATAGGAATGATCGAAGTAAACGTTAAGGACAAGATTTATGAACAAAACATACTAACGAATGTTTATAAATGATTCAATAGTTTGCACAGGAGTAATCTAAGTAAGCGTTAAAGACAAGATCTATGAACAAAATATACTAACAAACGTTTTATCAATTATTCAATAGTTTGTACAGGAGTGATCGAAGTAAGCATTAAGGACAAGATTTATGAACAAAATATACTAACGAACGTTTTATCATAGTTTATGTAGGAGTGATCGAAGTAAGCGTTAATGACAAGATCTATGAAGCTTGCAAAATATATAATGAACGTTTTATCAATTATTCAATAGTTTGTGCAGGAGTGATTGAAGTAAACTTTAAAGACAAGATCTGTGAAGCTTACAAAATATTCTAACAAATGTTTTATCAATTATTCAATAGTTTGTGCAGAAGTAATCGAGGTAAGCTTTGCAAAATATTCTAACGAATGTTTTATCAATCATTCAATGATTTGTGCAGGAGTGACCGAGGTGAGCTTTAAAAGGACAAGATCTATGAAGCTTGCAAAATATTCTAACGAACATTTTATCAATTATTCATAGTTTGTGCAGGAGCGATCGAAATAAACTTTAAGGACAAGATCTATGAAGCTTACAAAATATACTAACGAACATTTTTATCAATTATTCAATAGTTTGTATAGGAGTGATCGAAGTAAGTGTTAAAGACAAGATCTGTGAAGCTTGCAAAGCCAGTTTTACAAAAATAGGCATTTTATCAATCATTAAATAGTTATGTTTATTATTTATTTATGTATACAAATTTCTCTTTTATTTTAACTTATATTTAATATATGAAACAAATTGCATTTTAAAATGGAAAACACGTAGAAAATATATGGGGAAGACGTACACCATACCGTTTCCGTATGTTTTCCAGGATTCCAGACAGGCTGATTCACACCGGTCCATTCGAAATAACAACTTTTAATCACTTGAATTGCAAGTCATTATTAAAATGCGTGTTTGATTTTTTTTCTGTTTGTAAAGTGGAAAAAGATGATTTTAGCTGGCGAAATATTTCAGAACTGGGAAAAGAAAAGGCAAAACCATTATAATAGAGGGATTATAAGTTAATATAGGTGAAAGGATTCATATAAAAGAAGAAAATCAATTGAATGGAAGCAAATACTAACATCTCTCATTTCACTTTATAGGAGTTATGAAACCAATTATTGAATTAGAAGAAACAATCACACCATCAAATAAACATATTAAAGGTGATTAAATATCAATTTTATTATTACTATTTTTTTTTTTTTTTTAAATAACACACTTATATGCACTACCTACCCAAAAGTTTCGGTCACCCTAAATTGATGAATTGCGCAAAAGCGTACATAATAACCACACAGACAATTTATATTTTTTTGATCCTAGGTATTCATGTACTTAAATATAAAATTTTAGATTTCTAGCCTTTATACAGCTCAAATAATAATAAAAAAACGAATTCCGATCATTTTTGTAAAGAAAAAAATTTGACACGAAGAATCTTAAAACCTACATATTAACATATTATGAGATTTTTACATGCGATAATCTAATTATCAAGAAAAAAATTTTTTACATTATTTTGGATAGTTTTTTTTTTAAAGATTTGATAAAATTTAAATTTCGTAAAATGTCTAACTGAACGTGGTCAAATTATTGTTCTTCATATAGGCAGCAAAATTCTTGAATTTTCTAGAACAACAGTTACTCGAACTATAAAGAATTATGAAATAAGAGGTAGTGTCAAAGACTTAACTTGAAATGGTCGACCAAAAATATTAAATAATGACCATCAAAAAGTATTGAAAGCAATTGTCAACCATGGGAACATTTCAAATTTGCTGATAGTTCAATAGGAACACGTGAAACTCTGAAATGATGATTTGGAAAAAGATGTGTGTTTTAAAAGCTTCGATGGAAATTTTTGCCTATAGTTACATCCAAGAGTATTAACTCAAAATTTCTATTGAAAAGCCCCATGTAGCAAAGTGTAAATACTGTACTTGGTGAATACTTGAGATATCAAAATCATGCTAAATATTTCTATTTATTATAGTGTACATGTTTGGTTTTGTCTATTAAAATATTTAAATCAATAAGGTAAATCTATTGTTTGATATTAAAATCACGTTTTTTTTCTTTGAATAAATTCACGCATTCGAAAAATATTAATATTAATGTGTTCTTTCTTCTTTAAATTTACCAAAAGAAGTATGTCTACAAGAAGGTGTCTGAGTTATGTTCTTAAATAACAAAAAACTATTTGAAGCAGATATTTGTATACCGTAGCTTGAATAAATTATTTTTGAATTGATGGAAACGAGAGCCTCAAGAAAACAATTTCCTCTTCAAAATGCATTCGCGTTTACCATCCACGAAACTTTTACATCATGTACCGTATCTGTAGATGAAAATACATCTTTTGAGAAGGTCAAGTTTAAACAGAGTAGTTCTTTTTAGATGGGCTTCATACCTTAAAGTTTGATAATGGGAGCAAGTGTATTAAAATAGATTAAATTAAACATGCATTCATTATTATAATCCTTTTGTCGTTTTGCATCCGTGAAACACCGAATCTTCGGCTCGATTAAACATTTGTTATTATTATTGGTAAACGAAAAGTTTAATTATTCAACAGACATCTCAAACCTTGCTTTGATGTTTAGAGCTCGCTTATTGGGATTGCGTAGATTTCAAAGTCTAAAGGCTTAACGATAGCTTTTAAAACTGAAAAATAATAATAGTATTTCATATAAATTCTACATAACATAGTATTAGTATAGCATGTATTATTGGACCGTCTTTTTTTCAAGCTAAAGTTATTTGCAAGAAGCAAATTAATTTTACCACCATCCAGGAGCTGTGGAGTATTTTTAAAGTTTAAAGAACCAGTTTACATTTGATGCTTTCTCTATGACGACTTAGAGACAGTATATATGTACTCCGAAGAAAGTTCTCGAGGTTGTAAAATCTAACGCAGTTAGATGCTGGTAATAACATCAATGTGTTGGATCCAAGTAAAGTTATACCCACAAATGATATTCCACCAGCATCATTCATTATATGAAATAAGAGAATTATAGAAAAAGTCAACAATCACAAATGTGACTTTAACAATAATAATAATAATAAAAGAAGAGTAAATATTAATTATAAAGTTTAATAAAAAGATATATAATGAAATTAATCATCCATTGATATTTCAACATCTTTTCCCTTATTGTTATTATTTATTATTATTATCATCATCATTATTAGAACCTAATTAAAATTAATTTATTAATGAATTTGTATTTATTTAGAGTTGATATCTAATGAACTGTTGTTACTTGTATAACTTTTGATTTAGTAATTTTATCATCTAATATTCTACTTGTATGATATGCATCTGGATGTGATTTGTGTACTTGATCGCCTATAAAAAATTTGAATAATATTTTTATTAAACTATTATTGTTACTATTACTATTATTATTATTATTATCAAGAATTTCTTTTAGTTTATCATAAGAAAATTATAAAGCTCTTCAACAGTTGGTCTTTTTGATGAATCCACATTCCAACACTTCCGCATCATTTACAAATAATCATCAGGTATTTCAGGTAATATTGATGGTCATAAGCCTTCACATATATCAGAAATTAAACAACGATTATGAGCTCCATCATCAAATGGTGGATGGCCTGCAAATGTTTCCCACATTAACATCCCAACACTGTCTCTTTAGTATTCTTTGTATTAATTTTACCTCTAAGTAGCTCAGGTGCAACATATGACACTGGTCCACATAATCCTAGATCTGTAACATAACAATTACCTCCTTGCAATAATATATTACCACTATGTGAATTATCATGGATCAAATCTTTTTCATGTATATCACTTAATGCATTACATAAAGCTTCAAAGATTGTAATTCTGTATTTTAATTAGAATGATTTTTTCTCAAATTCTAAAACCATTGTATGACTTCCATATCTGGGAATTTAGCTATATTGTGGCATTTAATAATCATTCCTGCTGAAATTGAATATAAAATCAATTATCATTGTATTGTTTTATTTGTTTCAAGTGATAACTACCAATCTAATAAAAAAAAGTCTTTTCCTGAATTACTTGAATCATTTAAAATTTTTAATAGTATTATTTGCTTCCCAAAATAACTAAATTCCTTTTTATTCTTATCATAATCATCAACACTTCCTCTTGTCCATGTAGCAGTATAAATTCACCTTAAGCTAACTTTGTTACTTTTTCAAATTGCTCAAAAGATATCCATTACAAAATACAAGTTTGCAGAAATGATTTCAATTGTTGAATAAATCATCATCTATGCTATTTCCAGATGTCTAAGCAGTGAGAAAACTCTGTAATTGTAAACTAATGCAACCTTCACAGAATCTATCAGAGTATCTTGTCAATTTACACTTCTTACATTCTTTGGTTTGCCTAATTCATTCCTTGCATTTCTTAATACAAAATCATAAATAAGCTTTTCTTTACAAAACTCATTTTTATTTTCATTTTCAAAAGGCTCCTTGTTTTTTTTTTACTAATGAAATAGGATAATCTTTCATGCTTTCTTTATCAGAATTAGCCAAAGCATTATTATTAATTTCATTACCAATTTTATGTAAAAATTCCTTTCTTTCTGGCAATTTATTAATGACATTTTAACTTTATTTTGGTAAAATTTAATTTGTATTTACATTTTTGAATAATGTGTAACAAATAATTCCGCGTACTCTTTATATAAATGGGGGTTTTTTAACAGTTAAAGATTACTTTTCTAATCAGGATGAAGTGATAAAGAATTCATTATAATTTAAACATTGATTCTTTTTTTATGGAGTATATTTATTCATGTAATGTTTTTATTTTCTATTGCTACTGACTGCTACGATGACAACATTACCGTTTCTATTACTCCTACTACTTAAGAAAGATTCGACAGCTAGACTTTAATCCCACAAAAATCCTTCTTCTATTTGCATGGCACAGCCCTTGAAATGTCAACAGTTCAAAAAAGTGCAATAACATCAATAAATTTAATCTGTTTTTGACCGGATCAGATTAACCTTTCAAAATAACCATTCAATTGTTTCTTCTTATGTAAACTTAGAAGAATCATCCATTAATTCCCAAATTGAGATATTTTGATTTTTTTTTTATTCAAGAAAAGTTATTGTTAAAAGTACATGAAATTCGAGTTGTTTATCTACATTATCCTTCATTAAAAGACTTCTTCCTCAACTATATTTATTTTGCCAACTTTGATGACGTTGTCTACTAAGCCTACTGTTGTCAACTTAGCCACACATTAAAATACAATGTAACATACATTAATAATAATAAATATTAGCGCGCTAAAATAAACGACTAAAAATAAATAAAGATAATGGGTAAAATTATTAATCTAAAGGCTGTTTTGAAATTCAATTTTGAATACTAATTTTCAAAACTGTGACAATAATAATTCTATCTTTATTTGCCAGATTCGAAAAAAGGTAAATGTAATTTTAATAAAGACTCATGTACTCATTCAATAAAATTTGAGCTTCGAACTATATTTGGTTTTTTTTCTATTTCTTTAATTTCGATTTCAAATTCGATTTTAATCAAAAGTTTTAGAAGTAAAATAATACTTTATATTAAAGCCATGGATACAAAATAAAATTCATGATTATTTTTCTTTTGATTAATTTCTTGAAGAAGGGTTAATGCTTTCATATAGCATACCAAAAAAAGCCTTTTAATGAAGGATCCCTTTCTTCAACCGTTTTCCATTTTTAGAAATTCATCGGAATCATGTTTTCGTGATCTTGATACTTTATAAAACAGAAAAAGTCTTTTTTAAAAAAATGCCATCTAAAAACAAGTAATATTTTTTTTATTTTTATTTTATTTTACATATACACTACCTACCCAAAAGTTTCGGTCACCCTAAATTGATGAATTGCGCAAAAGTGTACATAATAGCTACACAAAAAATTTATATTATTTTGATCCTAGGTATTCATGTACTTAAATATAAAATTTTAGATTTCTCTAGCATTTATACAGTTCAAATAATAATAAAAAAACGAATTCCGATTATTTTTGAAGTGAAAAAAAATTAGAATTTTGGAAATATAATTTTATTATTAAAAATGGCTTAAATTTTCAACAGCAACCTCTTATCAATTAGTAACTAGTAGACCATCCATTATTTGCAATGCATTCTGCAATTCTACGAGGCATGCTTTTAATTAATTTTAAGTAAACGTTATTTGGAATTTTATTCCATTCTTCAATTATAGTGGTCTCTAATTCATTGAAATTTCTTGCTGGTTTAGGTTTTTTTCGAATACGAGTCTCTAATTCACTCCACAAGTGTTCAATCAGATTTAGGTCTGGAGACTGGCTTGGCCAACTTTCTAAGATTTTTATTTCGTTTGTTTTTAGCCATTTTTTAACTTTTTTAGCAGTATGGACTGGTGCATTATCATCTTGGAACAGATAACCTCGATTATTAAAACTATTGTTCATTAATAGCAACAAATAAGATTGGAGTATCTCAATGTAATCATTTTAATTCATTTTCCCATCAGCTTTTACAAGTGGACCCAATCCTTTTCCAGAAAAGCAACTCCAAAATATTACACTACCACCTCCGTGTTTGACTGTGGATCTTAGATTCTCAATATCAAACCTTGTTCCGATTGTCCTCAAAACATGACCTGGGCCATCATTTCTAAACAAGGTGAACCTGCTTTCATCAATCTATATTACATTTTTCCATTTTTTTTACACTCCAATCTTTTCTTCTTAAGCACCAACCCATACACTTTTGTCTGTGTCCCTCATTAATAAGAGGCTTACATGCTGGAACACAAGAAAAAATGCCAATATCATGCAGGCTTCTTCTAAACGTGTTGATTGAAACTTGCAGACCAGTTTTCTGATTAAATTCTTTTTTTATTATTTCAGCTGATTCAATGTTGTTTTGTTGACAATTGCTTTCAATACTTTTTGATGGTCACTATTTAATATTTTTGGTCGACCACTTCGAGTTAAGTCTATGACACTACCTCTTATTTCATAATTCTTTATAGTTCGAGTAACTGTTGTTCTAGAATTTTGCTAATTTTCACTTTTGAATCGCCGCCTATATGGAGACCAATTAGACATTTTACGAAATTTAAAATTTTATCAAAAAATTATTAAAAAAAAACTATCCAAAATAATCTAAAAAAAAATTTCTTGAGAATTAGATGAAATTAGATTATCGCATCTAAAAATCTCATAATATGTTAATATGTGGGTTTTTAAAATTCTTCATGTCAAATTTTTTTCTATACAAAAATTTATTATTGTTATCATCATCATCATCATCATTGTTGTTGTTGTTGTTGTTGTTGTTGTTCTTTATAAATTAAAAAAAAAATTTTTTTTAGAAAAACACTTACGGTGGAGAGGGAAGACATTCTTCTTGATGATGATTAATTAATTTGTTTGTAGAAGCTGTAACCGTTGTTGTTTTTTGTAAAGAGTTAGAAGCGTCGGAAGTAGTAGTAGTAGCAGCAGCTGAGTGGGTGCTGTTGGTATTATTTAGAGATGTTGCCATTGTGTTTATTGCTGGTAATAATTTTCTTTGAGATGACGGCAAAGAAGGAGGAGAGCTTGTGACTGTTTCTTCGATGCTTGAATTTTTATTACAAATCGTGTTTAAATTCATAATTTAATTTTTGTCAGCTAATTAATTATCACAGGAAAATTACGAGAGTCGCAAGAGCAAAAGAGTAAAAATTTAATTGTAAAAAATTTAAAGAGAATATAAAATGTAATATAATAATAAATAATAAAATTTTTATTTTATTTCCAGAATGAAATTTAATTAATTGAATGAAAGCGAAAGATGGAAGAACTTATGAAAAGGGGAAAAATCCAAACAGATTACTACTATATATGTAATATTTTTTATTACAATAGAATACATATTTCGTAATAGGTCCAGAATAAAAAAATTAATTAATTAATTACCATTACATTGTTATGTTGATGATGTTTGTTGTTGGGTGATTATACCAAAGAATTTTTTCGGAGTTTTATAAAGATCAATATATGAAATAACTAAGATTAAGTTGTAGTAGTATATTGGTGGTATGTTAAAAATGCAAAGCAAATCATATAATTTTATAATTATTATAATTATGGAGTATTATATTATCCATATCAGGTAAAAAGATATGATTAGGACTGAGCCAATTTTGCTTAATGCATTTTATTTGTTTATTGTTACTCTACAGCTTTGTTTAATAATTTATCTCGCATTTTTCTTTCCAAGTATTGCCTCAATACGATTTTGCCATTAGATTGTTCCAGGCCCTCGATTGTTATTATTATTATTTTTATTATTTTCAGAATTTACGTTGTGTTTCATTCAAAAAAGCTGAGAAAGAGGGTCTAGCCTTTCCTTCTTTTTTCTGTTTTATCATTCATTATATATATGTCGTTGTTTATTATTATTATTTATTATTATTTATATTTTCGAAATCATCGTTCAATAATAATAATATCTCGATTAATACTAATTCACAATATCCACAATCATAAAATATAAGTGTTTTTGACTTTTAAATATTTTTTTATTTGTTTGCATTACGTTTGGTTTTCCACCTTGAGATCTTGGTAAAATGTTACTCTGTTATTCTTGGCAAAAATGCCTCAAATTATTTATATCAAAGAAAAAAAATTTTTTTTTCTTATGTACGTTATCACGATGATGGTTACACATACATACTTTAAAAAATTTAAGTTAATGGCAAAAATTTCTCACTCGCACAATTATTTATTTGTTAGGCTGGGCCGTCCGTGTGTTACCATGTTGTCAAAATTTGCTGATGATTAGACCATCATCATCAAGGAAGAATCAAATAAACAAAATAGGCATTTCATTAAGGTTGACTAGAAAATTGAAGAGTGGTTGTTTAATTAAAAATTATATTGTAAAAATATCCGTGATTGTACAATGATGTATTATTGATTGATTGATTGGATTTTTATATTCAAGATTATTCGATTCGATAGGAATCTACATCATTTTCTGCTTTGATTTTTAACATTATATTGGAGAAAAGCGCTAATAATTATATAAAAAATGTTATTATTATATTGGAGTCATTGCTTTTAATTAATAAAATGTATATTTAATATACACACATCTAACCTCGATTTATTTATATTATAAAGTACTTTAAACAATTGATTGCTGCGTCCGGCTTATAGAGTTTAGATGTGTATATTAATATTAAATTAAAATCAATTACTACTACCATTACGTCAATTTAACACATCAAAAAAACTAAATCTCTTTTTTTTATATTAAAGTAGTCCAATTACGACATTATCTTACAAGTAATGAGAATTCCAATTCAATTTTTTTATTACTATATAAAGATTATAAATGGCAAAATTTTTTTATTGTGTGTAACATAATTATCCCAAATCCAAAATGGTCATCTGGTCAAAAAAAAAATTGCATTCCATCTTTTAAATAAGAAACTCAAGTCTTTCTGTCCGTCGGTCAACAAAGACCATGAGATCCCTATCAACTATAATAATAGAATAGAATTACTAAATAAACAAGTAAATAACCTTTTTAATGAATGGAATGAATGATTTAGTAAATAAATAAATCTAGCCATTGCCTCATTAATATATCTTTTTTGGTAACTTCCACCTTCCCTATAAGAAGCTGAATATAAACTGAATACGTATGGAATTTATATATTTTCAGTAAATTCAATGCATTTTCTGCATGTTTCCAGCATGTGTTCGATCCGGAACTTTTACATACGTGAAAGGCACTTTTCACAGAAAAGATCGTGCATTTCTTTCTGTGTGCGGTAAAAGTTGAATCGAGTAATGATTTTTCCAAAAATTGTATTACTAACGGACTACTACTATTTATCGTATTTATTTATTATGTTTGACAATTCAATCAATTACTATTATTAAATTATTATATAAATAATGATTAATTTAAAATTCAACTTTTTTATGTGCCATTAGTAATCGATTGCATTTATGACAAAATTGGCTTCATTTAGTTGAAATTCGCTTATTTTGGAGCAATAATCAAGCTGAAGGTATGCAATAGTTGCGTTTGCATTAATTTAATTTGATTAAAATATTTATTTATTTATTTTATTATTGTTATTCTTAGCTTTACATCTAATATTTTATAATTGATGTGCTTGTCATTTACTAAAGTTAAATATTTCGGAAGGAAAGAAAGAGAGAATGCGTCTATCTATAGCAATGTACTGTATATAATACATAATAAGGAAATTAACTTTAAAACCGATTTGTGATAGTAAAAAATATTCTAATCGATTAGATGAAAAGACAATTGAACCAATATCTTATGATTATATTAAGTTAAATAATTTATATCGCAATAATAATGTTGTTGACGAAATGCCTTCAATGTTGCAAAACTAATTATGCCAAATTCACTAAAAAGTGGCGAGTGATTAAACTCTTGACTTTTTATGGGAAAAACGTCGACTAAAATAAAATCCTTGCCAAAGCTATATTTAACAATTTCAAACTAGAAAATTCTTGATTTTATTATTATATTATTATTATAATATATATATATCTACAAAGTTTCGAATTAGTAGCACATGATCTTGGTTTAAAAAAGTAATTATAGGGTAATAATAAGGAACTAATGTTGTGTGGTCCAAAGCCCTAGGCTTAAGGAAAGCCCGAGACCGAAGCTATCCGAAACTAGTACTGGTTTAGGGAAAAATTTAAAAATTTAGACCTTTCCCGAAACCTAAACTGTTGAAACCTAGTGTTACCAAAACCTAAAACACATACCAAAACTATAATTTTTCTAAAAATAATAATAATAATACTTTATATTGTTATTTTTAAAAAATTTTGATGATTTATCAACCGCAAATTAGTACAAATTTAGAAACTACTATCACTATTACTATTACTATCACTACGTATTACTATTACTAGCACCAGCACGTGTAACGTAACATCCGTAGATTTTTTGTCATCAACTTTAATTTCAAGCAAAGAAACTATTTTGGAATTATTATTATTATTATTGTTATGAGGAACTAGCTACCTTTAGTCAATGTTTTGATTACGTCAGGAATTTCATCATGTATTATTATTATTATTAAGTGTAGATCCTCTCAAAAAATGATTCTAAAACAGCCATTCCAAAGGGGTTTATTTTTCGTGTGATAATATTAAAAAATCAGCAAAGGATTTTCTAATCAGAAACCTAATTATTTAAATCGCAAGTTTGGGCGAAAATTAAAGAATGGAACATATTTATATTGAGGGTAAATGGCAGGTTAAATACCATGACATTTATTTTGTATATATCATTCATTCGTTGTATTTAAATTTTTTTTTAATTATTCTATTTATTATAGATTATGTATTTATTTTTTATGAAAGTTATTATACTTGTTTTTTAATAATTTAAGAAAAATATAGTAGGGAAGGTTGGAACAAAAAACGACCAAACAGAACAATCAAGTGAAATAAATGTATGGCGAGGGTTGTATGCTTTGTTTATATATGGCCATTCATTGTTCTTGTATAATGCTAAATCTTAGGTTTCTATCTTAGTGTGCAATTTTAAATTACTCAAAAAGACCAAAAATTGAAGGACTTGTCATAGGAGCAGTCTTTTTCAATTGAAATCGACTTGAAGAAGTAAACGCATGGCGAGGATTGCATAATTTATATATAGCCATTAATTATTTTCGCATAACGATAACCCTTAAATTTATATCTTACTGTGAAAGATCCGAAATTGAAGGACTTGTCATAGGAACAGCTTCTTTCAATTGAAAATAATTTTAGGTCGGATGAAATGCATGGCGAGGGTTATATAACCATTATTTGTGATATATATATATATTAGGTTTTTACATTTCCGTAAATTTAAAAGGACAAAAGGTGGTCTATAATAAAGTAATTTGATCCATTAAATCCATTAATATCATATTATAAAAAGCTTGCACAATACCTTTGGTAAATTTTCATTTACTTTATTATTATTCAATATTATAAAATACTTGCACAATTATTTACAATGATTTGATAATTCAAATGTAAAGTTTCATTAGTATAAATTTTCGAAATGTATGGTTGGCTCGGTCTAAAGACCTCCTATTGCTGCGCCACACGCTCAAATTTCAAAAACTGCGATTTCATGATTCGTTCAAAAATGCAATAAAAACTTTTCAAAAAGGCTTCACGTGATTTTGGTTAAAAAATTTATTTTCCTTCCTGCCAAATTTAGACATGATTGTCGAGTATTAGTCTAAATTTAGTAACGATGAACTAAAACTAGTCTAAATTTAGCAATGATCCTAGCGCTCAAATTCTTCATGAGCATAGTAAAGTACATGTTTTAAAAAAGAATAGAACTCTACAACAAATAATTTTTTTGATAAAATCTCTTTATTACATTAAAATTAAAGACCTATTCCATCAACTAATAGAGCTATTTTTTTAAAAGGTAGGGCAGAAAATGACTTCTATACTTTTAAAATTTGCACAAAATTTAGGAGGTCTTTAGACCGAGCCAACTATAATACAAATAAAATAATAAAAATAAAATAAGAAATAAAATATGAGGAATAAATGTAGATATAAAATAAAGTAAAAAATAAAAATAAAAGATTTGGTTCGGAATTAGGGTATTTCGACTAACAATTTAGCGTTAAATCCTAATTCTGGTAACACTATGGAAAGTTGAAAAAAAAATAATACATTCCTTATTAGAAATATCGATGAAAAGGCAGGTAATGTAACTTTCTTACTGACCCTATAGGCCAATATCTATTCACAATCACTGATTTGTAGCTTGTCTTCTTCTCAACTCTCAACAATGTAAGGTAAAGAATGAGTTGTTGGAAGGGAGAGAAATCAATAATGTGGGAGAAAATTGTTAAAAACATACTTATTCAAATTTCGTGTCTCAAATTCATGACATTAAGGATATCATCTTATTTAGAATTAGAACATTTGACACTCATGAAATGTGACTCTGTGCAAAAAGCAAAAATTTAATTTACCACATGTAACAATTTATTTTTTTTCGGGTCTGATTCATTTCGTCGACAGTCATTTCGTCGACAGTCATTTCGTCGACACTCATTTCGTCGAAAATTTGTTTCATCGAAGGTTCATTTCGTCGAAAATTGTTTCGTCACAAAAAAAAAACTTAATTAAACAACTTTCTCCTCGCACTTCCTACACACTCCGCTTTCTTCACCTAATTTCTTAACCAACTTCCCACACCCCTCACATTTAACTCGTTCAGTCTCTGGCTCGAGGATGAAATAATTTTCGACGAAATGAACATTCGACGAAATGAACTTTCGACGAAACGAACTTTTGACGAAATGAACTTTCAATGAAACAAACTTTCGACGAAATGGGTGTCGACGAAATGATTTTCGACTAAGTAAATGCGACCGTTTTTTTTCAGCCATGTATCAATAAAATTAAACTTCACTCAATCATGCGAAATCCAACACGCGATTTACAACAAAGTTGTATTTTCACCAGGGCTGCCTGCGTAAAGGTGTTAAAGCCCTAATTTGTTAATAATTTGACTTGACTAAAATTGACTTAACATAATGATTGAATAGTTTAGTCAGTTTAGCCAAATGCTCATTTAGGCTAGCCCTGTTATGAGAATTTATGAAATAACAAAATTTTATTTGTGCGTTTTGTACAATCAAGTGTTCTATATATGTATTAAAAATAAAATATTAAAAATTACTAACAAGTAAACCTTATTACACTAAATCAGGAAGATCCAAATCCTCCCTATAGCTAATTGTGGCTTCATAGAAAGTC